TGTGTGTGTGTGTTTTCTTGTGGATATTCACTCACACAGAAATAGTTTCTCCCCTGGTGGCATTTTATAAGGTGCTGGGTCACTAGCAGAACTCCTAAGCACTTCTAGGTAAGGATAGGAAATAGTAGACCTAACTGAATCTGCCTAAGTTATAGCTGATAAGATAGTTTATTTCAAGATTTTATAAACTCAGAAATAAATTTGTAAAATCAAAAAATCCTCTTTATAAAATGTGCTAACTAAAATTTGTGAATAAACTAAATACAATGTGTAAAAAGATGTGGGTCTGACTAATCAAAGGGAGCTCTGCAATGTAGTATTTTCAGCCCAGATTGGCTTGATATTGTCACACTATTTCATCCTGTGACCTGTATGATTCTGGCTCCTCTCTTCCATCTTAGGATGCTCATTGCTATAATGTAACAGTAATTTATTGTGCAATCAAGATGTGTCCTTTTGTCTCCACTGGCCAAGGGTGAATTTGAAGTTCCACCCTAAATCAGCCCTTCCGGGAAATCAATAGAGAGGGTGTGAGTGAGATAACGGGGTCTGCAGGGGTTGGAGTGGGGGCATCCCTGTTCTTAACTTGGACAATCCTGAGCTCATCAGGTCAGGTGTGAATCCATGGGGCTGTGGAACGTTGGCCACTTGGGGGCGCTGTGGCTCCACAATGCTGCAGGGAACCCTGGGGAGGGGTGCGAGGGTGGCCGGTAAAGGAGGGTGGAAGGGAATGCCTGGCTGCCTGCTGGCATCAGGAGATTAGGTGGCTATTAGAGTAGGTTCTGGCCTGGGACTGCCCAGGGAAAGGTAGGGCCGGGGTTTGCACCAAGCAGGGAGTGTCTCTGCCTCTGCATGGGCAGTGGAGAGTGTAGGGGCTGGGGTGGCAAGGGCTGGGAATCAGTGTCAAGGCAGGGACAGGGTGGGCAGAGGAAAATGAAGTGTGATGTGGGCATGTGGTGACTGTGCCCAACCACCTCCCCTTTAGTTGAGGGTCTGTGCGGGACAGGAATGCTGCGTGGAGCTGCTGAGCCTGGGTCTCTCAATGGGTGAACAAGGCAAGACTGGCCTGCAGAGACAGTACCTGGAAAAGGCCAAGGCAAGGAATTGGGTGACACTTTCCTACCCCCACTCAGGGAGTGACCTGAGGAGGGTGCTGCCAGCCAGAGGGGCTCAGGTCCTGGTGAGCTGACAGGCTTTCCCCCCAACACTTCCTGTTGCTTCTGTATGTGATCTGGTTAAATGCTCACTGAAATCATGTAAGGTAGGTATAATTTCACCTGTTTATACATCTGAAGGAAAGCAGCTGTCCTAGGTCTCATATTAAGTAATTGGCTGAGGTGTTTTCCTCCGACACCTCTGCACCAGCCCTCTCCCCCGACTCTATACATCTGTCCCTTCATCTGGCTTCCCCTTTCCAGGTCACATTAGCAGGAGGGCAAGGTCGTGCCTCATATGTGACCATTATAACCTCTTCCCTGACAAGTCCAAGGAACACGTGACTTCCAGGCCAAGCGTATCCATTCACCTTTCATTGAAGCAAAACAGAAGGATGAAATTTTCCGCACTATAGACTTCTTGTAACTGATACAATCTACCTTAAGGAAAAGTAACAAGAAAAATTGTTATTCATTCATTATTATTTTATTTATTTTATTTGATATATGTTTGGAGGTCCTTTCTTTGTATAGATATTTTATGACAAAAAATGCAAAATGAAAAAAGAACAAATGAAAATAAAAAAGAAAAGCTTTAAAGAATAATAAATATGTTTCTTACTTTTTAGAGTATTAAGGTTTGCATTAATTTTTTTTTAACTTATTCAAAGTAGTTTGTTCAGTTTCTGAATTATACAGATTTCCTTTTTTTCTTCTCTTTCTCTCTTTAGCCACCTACACCTTTTTCTGCCAGCTTTTTAAGTTTAATAACAGAAGGCTATCTTTTAAACAGATTCTTAAATGTACAATATAGTATCATAATCTACAGACACAAGGTTAGACAGTAGATCTCTAAAACTTCCTCATCCTTCTTTATTGAAATTTTACAGCCACTGATGGCAGCCACCCATTTGCCCCACTTCCCAGCCCTTGGAAATTACCATTTTTCATCTTCAGTTACATGAGCTTGACTTTTAGGTTGCCTCATGTAAGCACAATCATGTAGTATTTGTCTTTCTGTGCCTGACTTTTTCAACTCAGCATAATGTCCTCCAGGTTTAGCCATGTTGTCAGGTATGGCCAGATTTTCTTCTTTTTAATGCTTACTGATACTCCACTGTATGCATACACCACATTTAAGGTGTGAATATTAAATATATAGTATCTTATTGTTTCTGTGAAACCATCTGTCACAAGAGCAGCAGGGTCATTTGCAGAACAGCAAGCCCTGAGTATATGAATGCACGTTCATTCGAAGTTCAATTCTGCTTCATAGAGAAGACTTCAAAAAATAATAATTTCATCATTTATTGTTATTTTACTATACAAAATTAGAATTTCTTTTTTCTTTTTCTTTTTTTTTTTCGATACAGAGTCTCACTCTGTCGCCCAAGCTGGAGTGCAGTGGCATGATCTCGGCACACTGCAACCTCCGCCTCCCAGGTTCAAGTGATTCTCCTGCCTCAACCTCTCGAGTAGCCGGGATTACAGGCATACACTACCATGCCCAGCTAATTTTTTGTATTTTTAGTGGAGATGAGATTTCACAGTGTTAGCCAGGATTGTCTCAATCTCCCGACCTCGTGATCCGCCCACCTCGGCCTCCCAATGTGCTGGGATTACAGGTGTGAGCCGCCGCACCCAGCCAATACCATAAAATATTTAGCATATAGTAGAAATCTAGCTATTTTTATTTCCTTTGCTAATCTCAGGCAGCCTCTTCTACTGTGCCAATGCCCAAAGGCAGATAAAGACACATTTTCCCTGGAAATCTTAGGGTGAGGACTCAGGAAGTCACAGAAATGGCAATATATATGCATGATGATTACTTTGAAAGTATTAACTAGAGAACGTAGCATATATCCCACCTCAGGCATTTAAAACTCAATATTATTGATATATAAATTATATAAACATTACAAATTTTAAATAAACAGATCGGTTATACGTAACTAAATAATTAACAGAACAAGGAGCTCCTGAAAAGTTGTATGGTTTTAAAAGGGGTTGAAGCCAAGTGAGCTACCAGATCCACATTAGGGACAATTCTGTCTGGAGATGGATGTTGTGATAAAACAACCTCAGAAGGTCTTTCAAGCTGGTACAGGCTGATTTCACAAAGTTTATTCATTTTCATTCATCTATTTTCTTATCTGCTCATTTACTCAAATTATTTTATAATGATATTTTGGCAAAAATTAATCATCTTTAAGGGAAATATTTTGAGTTTCATCAGACACATACGCAGCTGAGCTTTGTGTCCACACACTGAGTGCCCTGGGGCCAAACAAAACATGGTAATAGTGACCTTGCTGAGATATGACGTCACATTGGGAGAAAGGTTCCCTTTGTGTTGACTCTAAGTGTCCAAATCATGAGTCCTAAGCCTTGAGCTAGGAAATGCCCTTTTCTGCCCTGGGAAGCAGGCTCCTAGATTGTGTGTTTCTCTGTCTCCTGGTCTAGCCTGGGCACAGACAGGGCACCCCCTCATGAACTTGTTACATCCTGGCTGTGACTTTCAGCACCAGGTGATCCCTTGCTCTGACTTCAATTTCTGTGTCCTTCTCTCCTAAACCCCACGGATGCTGAGTGACTCAGACTCCAGTCATGTGCTTGTGCCAAAAGGAAACCAGCACAAGAGGAGGTGAGCAGAATATGAAACCAAACCATGTACTCAGGACAGTCAATGAGACTTACTGGTAGCTCCTTTGCTCAAATATTGTAAGGAAGTTGAAGATCATGACAATGTTACAGCAACAGGGGTCTTTTTAGGTGTGGAGCTCTGTGCACTAAGATACAGTTTTTGAGCTTTTTTTTTTTTTTTTTTTTTTTTTTTGAGACAGAGTCTTGCTCTGTTGCCCAGGCTGGAGTGCAGTGGTGCAATCTTGGCTCGCTGCAACCTCGTCTCCTGGGTTCACGTGATTCTCCTGCCTCAGCCTCCTGAGTAGCTGGGATTACAGGTGTGCACCACCATGCTGGGCTAATTTATTATTATTATTATTATTGTTATTTTGTATTTTTAGTAGAGACGGGGTTTCACCATGTTTGTTAGACTGGTCTTGAACTCCTGATCTCATGATCCGCCCACCTCAGCCTCCCAATGTGTTGAGATTACAGGCATGAGTCACCGTGCCCGGCCTTTTGTTTGTTTGTTTTTTTTAATTGTTACTGAATTAGTGGTGAGAATCCTGACCAAGGGAATATTCCCTATGAAATATGACACTTCAAATAAAATGAGAGCACTTTTTCTTATCAGGATAAGAAACAAGATAAGCCTGCCTCCTCTCTCCTTGCCCCACGTACCTCACACATCAAGACACGCTTGTGCCCACAGATCATGGGCAGCGTTGGGCAGCCACCATCATCCACACAGTGAGGGCAGTCAGAAGCGTGAGGTGGTTCTGCCTGCTGGGGTCTCACCCCAGGCACAGAAAACAACAGCCCTGGGAGGAGCTGAGGCTGCTCAGCTGGGCTTGTCAGGAGTCCCATCTGTCAGTGAATGGACAAGAAACAGAACAAAACGACTCCTCCAATGTTGATGAGCCTGCCCCTGGGATTTGGAAACTTGGTAACAGAGAAAACCAATATAGACAAAAGATTGTAAACAGGATTAAGGTCAGCTAAGCAAATTAGAAAAGGATACTTGAAGGAGTATTTGGGACACAGGAGTCAAAAACACCAGGAAGACATGAGGAGTGTCCGTAAGTGTCTAAATTAGAGAAATATTTAGGTAACTAACACCAGTGTATGAATGAGGAATTATATCATCACAGGGATAAAATTTACATTGAGTTACAAACTGCTTACAAAAAGGCTAAGAAAAGCTTGTAAGGTTGTGTCAATTCAGACAAAGGCATTCTTCCCATCCAAACTGTTCACTGGTGCATTTATTGTGAATTTGACCATCTAGGGAAGAGGTGTGGCCTCTCCTGACAGGAAGGCTCTGGGGCCCAGGCAGGGAGAGTGACATCTCAGAATGATTCCCTTGACAGTCCTGTTCCCCTTTCATCAATGCACAGACCCAGAAGATCCCTCAGTCCTGCAGCACCTGCCATGAGCATCGGCCTCCTGTGCTGTGCGGCCTTTTCTCTCTTGTGGGCAGGTGGGTCCTAGGCAGGGCCCCTGTCTGGAATTCAAGGCCCAGCGCCTTCCCTTTGGGGCTGCAGCATCAGCTTTGTCCTTCTCTGCAGGTCCTGCAAATGCTGATGTCACTCAGAGCCCAAAATTCCAGATCCTGAAGACAGGACAGAGCATGACACTGCAGTGTGCCCAGGATATGAACCATAACTCCATGTACTGGTATCGACAAGACCCAGGCATGGGGCTGAGGCTGATTCATTACTCAGCTGCTGAGGGTACCACTGACCCAGGAGAAGTCCCCGATGGCTACAGTGTCTCCAGATTAAACAAAACGGAGTTCCTGCTCAGGCTGGAGTCGGCTGCTCCCTCCCAGACATCTGTGTACTTCTGTGCCAGCAGTGAAGCCACAGTGCTGCACGGCCGTCTCCTCTCTGTACATAAAGGCAGGGAGGCTCTGCCCTCCTCTCTCACCCCAAACTCAGTGATGCCCTGAGCAGAGTTCTCTGCACCAGGGACCTTGAAACTCCATCATCATGGGTCTGAGGCCCCCAGGATGAAACAGGATTTGTATTTCAGATCCATCTAGACTCTTGTCTCTCCCTGGGGACCGTGTTGCTTCCTCTCTCTAGGGTTTCCCCCAGCCTACACTCTCATGTGGTCTCTTCTGTGGCCCACCTTTCCCATCTGGGCAGTGACCCTCCAAGGCCTTGCTGTGTCTCTCCTCCCCTCACCTCCCTGCCTCTCTCTACTGCAGCCGTGAGGGGAGTCCCTCTTCTGTGTCTCCTTCATTCCCATCGCGGAGACTTCAAAGGCCATTTTCTCTGCCCTGGGCTGGAGACTTCGTTTCTGCAGTGGCCAGCTCCTACCTGTGCTTCAGACCGCAGCATGATCAGCCCTCCTGTGGGAAGCACTCCCTTGCCTCCCAGCTGAGATCAATTTTTCTGTTATAAGCGCTGATGGTAACGAGCGCTGATGTGCTCGTTAGTCAATAGAGTAGTTGGAGTTTTCCAGTTACTTGTCTGGATATTTTTCTGCTCAACTCGATTTTAAACTCCATAAAGGCGAAGGCTGTGCTTATTACATTACCAACAGCTGTTCCTGGCATGAAGGGAGACCTATTTCACAGATAATGGATGAGTTAATGAATGACAGGCTGATTGAGTGACAAGCAGGTGGATGAACCAATAACAGGAACACTCCAGGTCCGCTGTACCCTGGCAGAGTTCTAGAGTTAACTGTGCCTGAGATGCTCTGCTATGAGCTTATCAAAGGGCACTTGCTTGTTGAACAAGCATTGGACCATTCATTGTGTAAGCCAGTTTGTCAGTTCGTCTAGGAATTTCCAATTTAAAATATCACATGCTCTTCAAACTCAATGAGGGTAAAGTCTACATTATATAATTCTAATATCTAAGTTTTTTTTTTTAAGTTTTGGGTTAAGAACCGAAAAGGAAAGAAGAGGGAATATCTTTAGACTTAGTATTTTTTTATTGAAAATGTATTTATATAATTTTTTCTTGGAAGAACAGGTAGGGGAAGTCATGACTACACAGCCTTATAAGTGCTAATTTATGGAGACGGTATCATGAAAAATAACAAATGTAAGAACTGTGTTCTGGAGGGAACATTGTGGCTGTCCTGAGAGTACGTTCTGACCCCAGGAACCAAACCCAGGAGAGTATTTGGCAACTCAGAGTGCGGCAGACAATTCTTGGCCCCCTGCATTTGGGATGAGACTGGAGACAGCTGGAAAAGCTACGGGCTGGACGTTCTGCACTCTCAATGCAGGCCTCTCTGAAATCCCACAGATTAATGTCAGGTAAATATACTCCCACTATTAAGACAAAACCAGAACCAATGAAGAAAAATGAGTAGAAACAATACGCAGTTGAAATGTATGAAGACAAGGAATTTTGCCATTAAAAGTTATAAAAGTTAAAGAGCCATATTTAAAGGAATACAGGAGCAAATTGATATGTGAACAAGAAAAAGGAGACTGTCACAAATCATCAAGGAAACATTAAAAATAATCAAAGAGAATACAGTAATGATTAAGATTATCATTGAAAACAAAGTGGAAATGAAGAAAAGATGACATGCTTCAAAAGAGATTGTTACTGAGGTCAAAGCCAGATCTGAAGAAGTTACCTAGAATGCAGCGCAGAAAATTAAATAGGAAACAAGAAAAGGTAAGGGATAAGGAATAAAAATCTTGTGGGTTCTAGTATATTAGGATATATATAATATTTTGTTGGAACTTCCCATTTTTCTTACACATCATTGAAGTGTCACAAAGAGAAAGTGGAGAGAATGATAGGTGATAATTATGAGACATTAACTGAGAATTTTCAAGATGTGTTTCAGGACCTAAATCCTCTGTTTCAACAAGTTAAATGAATATGTAGTAGATGAATACATATGTTATAGTGAAATTGTGGAACACAAATGACAAAGAGAAGATTTTAAAAGTAGCCCAAAAGATAGCTATCTCCCAGACTGAAAGGCACAGTGAAAGTCAAGAAAGGAGATTAAAAATAAGTATCAAGTCAGAATTATAATTCTCATTCATTAAATACTGAGATTGAAGTAAATATATTTATAGGTAGAGAAAGAAAAAACACTGAGTTTGTCACCAAGGTATCCTTTCTGAATTATAGTTAACAAAGATGGGAGGTAGTCCCAGAAGAGAGGGATGAGGTGCCTCTCATGAGGGAACCCATGTGATGGGACAGTCCCGTTGGGCACGTGTGACTGGGGGATGGAGGAGGCTGGCGCATGAATGGGGATGGTACAGGGGACCCTGACTTGCAGGAAAGACAATGAGCTCACCGTTTGGTGCCTTGTGTTGGTGGAGCTGTTGACACATCCTAGAGAACATGCCCAGCAGACAGAGGAGCGGCTGTGGGATGAGGAGGTGAACTCAGAGATGCAGTGTGAGGCCTCCGGGTCCAGACAGCATGGGATCCCAAAGCAATGATACATGCATTGATGTTGTTAAAAAGGAATTTTTTTTTTTTTTTGAGAGGGAGTGTCGCTCTGTCACTGAGGCTGGAGTGCAGTGGCACAATGTCAGCTCACTGCAAGCTCCGCCTCCCAGGTTCCAGCCGTTCTCCTGCCTCAGCCTCCCCAGTAGCTGAGACTAGAGGTGCCCGCCACAACGCCCGGCTAATTTTTTTGTATTTTTAGAAGAGACGGGGTTTCACCATGTTAGCTAGAATGGTCTCCATCTCCTGATCTCATGATCCACCCGTCTCGGCCTCCCAAAGTGTTGGGCTTAAAGGCGTGAGCCACCACACCCGGCCTAGAAAGGAATTTATAGGCTGGGCGTGGTGGCTCACACCTGTAATCCCAGTACTTTGGGAGACCAAGGTGGGTGGATCACTTGAGGTCAGGAGTTTGAGAACAGCCTGGGCAATATGGTGAAACCCCGTCTCTACTAAAAATATAAAAATTAGCCTGGTATGGTGGTGCGAGTCTGTAATACCAGCTACTCAGGAGGCTGAAGCAGGAGAATCACTTGAACCCAGGAGGCAGAATTTGCAGTGAGCGGAGATCACACTACTGCACTCCATTCTGGGCAACAGAGCAAGGCTCTGTCTCAAAAAACAAACAAGCAAAAAGCAAGGAACTCACAAATAAAGTCATTTAAGTGTGTTCTAATGTAAATCCTTTGTTCCTGTCATTGCGTGGATTGAGAGAGGAAGTGATGTCACGGTGGGTACTTCCATGTAAGGACAGGAATGTCCCTCTTTCTCTGCTCCTGCTTATGGTGACTCTGATCTTGCAAAGCTCCCACCCTGCCCTGACTCTGCCATGGGCACCAGGCTCCTCTGCTGGGCAGCCTGTGTCTCCTGGGGGCAGGTGATTCCTCAGACGCCAAGCAGTCTCATTTTGTGTGTGTGTGTGTGTGTGTGTGCGCGCGTGCGTGTGTGTGTGTGTGTGTGAGATGGGTGACAGAGAGATGACTATAGTTGTTTTTCTTATTCAGTTCCCAATTTCTGTCTCCACAGATCACACAGATCACACACAGGGACTGGAGTCTCCCAGTCCCTGAGACACAAGGTAGCAAAGAAGAGAAAGGATGTAGCTCTCAGATATGATCCAATTTCAGGTCATAATGTCCTTTATTGATAACGACAGAGCCTGGGGCAGGGCCTGGAGTTTCCAATTTACTTCCAAGACAAGGATGCAGCAGACAAACTGGGGCTTCCCCGTGATTGGTTCTCTGCAGAGAGGCCTGAGGGATCTGTCTGCATTCTGAAGATCAAGCGCACACAGCAGGGGGACTCGGCCGTGTATCTCTGTGCCAGCAGCTCAGCCATAGCGTGGCAGAGTCACTTCCTTCTTGCTCACAAACCTCATCCTTCTCTCTCCTTGCAGCTCCTGCAAACCCTTAACAGAGGCTTTGCTCCTCTGTTTGCTCCTCCTTCTCCAGGAGAAAGAAATAGATTTGGACCTCAGCTGTCCACAGATTCACCCCTGAGACACAGTAACTGTAAATGTGGGTGGTGGAAGCAATCGTGGCCCATCAGGCTCCAGGAGTCCTCAGAGCCAACTCACTGCTCTAAGGCAAGCACTGGGTGTCTCAGCCTCGGCCTTCAGGGCTGGGATACGCAGTTTTCTTCGGGGCTGGGAGGTTGCTGCCCACATACGGAAGCTTCGGGCATGGGCGGGGAACAAGCCTCTTCCCTTGCATGTGTTGGGGCATCTGGCATCTGCAAGGTCTGATGCTTCATCCACAAGAACATTCATTCTTTCTTCTGAAGCCTCTTCTATCCCTGTCACATTGGAAGTTTTCTGCATACAGGGGCACACCGTTCTTCATGTTTGACTTGAACATCTTTGTGGCTTTTGTGACAATTACTTGATGAATACAGCCATGATAACAACAAGACTTCGTTTCTTCTGCCTAGTGTAAGCAATGCGTGTTCTTTATTTTGTTTTCCGTTACCACTGCTCCTGTCCTGGGAGACTGAAGCCGCGTGCACTACTGCTCCAGTGTCAGCTTGGCTCCCTAGGAAATGGCGTTTCTAGAACCTGAATGCTGACAGATAAGAGTTGTATATATGTATACCATGCAACCTGCCATTTAAAAATGTATGTCCTTAGTGCAATGACTAAATCTAGCTAATTAACATATGCAGTACCTCAATCCTTATCCTTTCCAGTGGTGAGAATACTTGAAATGTACTCTGTTAGCATTTTCCCAGAATACAATCCACTGCTACTAACTCTAGTCATTTGTTGTATAATAGATCTTTGTAATATCTTCATCTTATCTGAGTGAAATTTTGTATCTGTTGACCAACATCTTCCCAACAGTCCATCTCTACTCCAGCCTTTGCTAACTACTGCTCTAGTCTTTGGATTTGAAGTAATTGCCCTGAGGTCTTTAACTCAAGACGATGGGGGAATTTTCTCTATAATGATGCTTATATTACTTTTGTTTTGTTTGTTATTTTACATCTTGCAATATAGGGTTTGCTGCAAATGTAAATAATTATATTGTAATAAAAATCCTTCG